TAAATTAGGTTATGGTAGGAGGATTTAGGTTATGGTTGGACTTGATGGTCTTTCAAGGTTCCTTCTAGCCAGGATGATTCTATGATTCTGTAGCTCCCTCCCACAATCAAAACCTTGCCATACAACCCAAATATATTCTGGGAAAATAATTCTTCCAAATGGGTTTGCATTCCTTTTGTTGCATCCAAACAAATCTCAGTTTTTGTCATTTACCTCTTTATTTTCCATATGTGATGCCTTATAAGGCACATTCTTGTGTGAAAGTTGGCTTCTAGAACCTGGAGTGTTACTTTCAAGATTGGATTCTCCCTGAACATAAAAATTAAAAACTTAAAGAAGTAAAAACTTTACAAAGCTTGAATAACCCACCACTTCAAAAGAGTAAGGATTTCTGGAGACAAAGAGAAGCAGCAACTTCTTTAAAAGTCAAGCTTGGTAATATGTACATCTTTAGTAGACCTGAGGATAAATGAGAAGCCTTTAAAATGATAGTGATCATATCAATCCCGGAGCAAAAGCTTTGTCTATGGGTATAATTTTGGGTGTAACAGACACAATGTAACAGACAAAAATGTCAGGAGCTTTGAACTGTCTTGGGGCAGCCAGTGCGTTTATGAAGTTTTTAGGTGGATTGGTGCTCTGTTCTGCTTGGGAACATTGTTATGGTGGTAAGGAGGCCTGCATGCACTGGGAAGCAGAGGGAATCACAAATTCACTTCTTCTGTCAGCTCTTGAAAAGATCACTCTGGCTGTGGGTAAAAGGTCAGGAGTGAGAAAGAAGGTAGAAAGAAAGTTGCTAAACAGTTCAAATCAAGTAGAGACAAGTAATATGGAAGTTGCTGCTACCAGTACCTAATGTTCTAACAGTGTTTCAATGCTACTAGGCTTAAAGTTGCGGTATTATCAAGCACTAGTGCACTGCTTGTCATTGTACTGCTGGACATGCCACCTCTGCTTCAGTTTCTTACCATTTCTCACTCTCAACTGGAAAAAGCAAACCCCACCTCTGAGTAGGCAGCAAAGATGCAGTTTGGGTAACTAATGTGACTCGGTTCTATGACAGGAAAGCGACTGAGTGGATTTCCTTCCTGAAAGGAAGGAAAAGTAGCCTGTTAATGACTCCAAAAGAAGGAAATGCTTACCAGACTTTCTGTTTATTTACAAAGCTGCAAGGTCAGGCAGCAGAATGGACAGGGATGTTCCCAAACTAGAGAATGCCCACTCATACTACACAACTGCTTTCTGTGCAAAGATGTTTTTTCTCACCAAACCGGGCAAAACAAGTGAAGATTAAGTGAGATTTGCTGCAGGCAGCGGTACTGAGTAAGAATATGTAGACTTTGTATTAGAATTGCCTTAGTTGTGAGAACTGAGAACATTAAAATATATTAGACTTCTTTCTGGGATAACTTGAGGCTTCTAACCCAAAAGATCAAGGAAGCTTTGGCCTACACAGAATTGACAGCATTGAAAATGTGTAGCTTAGAAAAAGGTATATTTTTTTTACACAAGGAGAATCAGTCATTGTCTAAAAAGAATTTTTAGTATTAGATAATAAAGCTCCTCTACCTGAGTAGAAGAAATGCATTTTGTCTTTGAGAGAGTCTGAAAAGAATATAGACTATAGCAGAATGACTAGCAGTGGGAGACAGAGAACCAAATTAATTGCTAACACTTTTTCTGGGTCGGGGCAATCCCAAGCACAAATTCAGGTGGGGTAGAGAATGAATTGAGAACAGCCCTGAGGAGACGGACTTGTGTGTGTTGGCTGATGAAAAGCTCAACATGAGCCAGCAATGTGTGCTTGCAGCTCAGAAAGCCAACTGTATTGGGCTGCACCAAAAGAAACATGGCCAGCAGGTCAAGGGGAGTGACTCTCCTCCTCTACTCTGCTTTTGTGAGACTCCGCCTTGAGTACTGTCTCCAGTTCTGAAGCCCACAACAAAAGAAGGACATGGAGCTGTTGGAGCAAGTCCAGAGGAGGGCCATGAAGATGATCAGAGGGCTGGAACATCTCTGTTATGAAGACAGGCTGAGACAGTTGGGGTAGTTCAGCATGAAGAAAGCTCCAGAGAGACCTCATTGTGGCCTTCCAGTACCTGAAGGGTGCCTACAGGAAAGCTGGGGAGGGACTTTTTACAAAGACTTGGAGTGATAGGATGAGGCAGGATTGTTTTCTGCTGAAAGAGGGGAGGTTTAGATTTGATATTAGGAAGGAATTCTTTCCTGTGAATGTGGTGAAACACTGGAACAGATTGGCAGAGAAGCTGTGGATGCCTCTTCCCTAGGAGCATTCAAGGCTAAGTTGGATGGGGCTTTGATCAACCTGATCAACCCCCATGGCAGGGGGGGGTGGAACTAGATGATCTTTAAGGTCCCTTCCAACCCAAACCATTCCATGATTCTATGATCATCAATTGAATTTAAAAAAGAAAAAAGGACATTATTTTTCACATAGTTATGCAGTCTACAGGCACATGTGTAAAAGCTGGGATTACAGCATTTGAAAAAAAGTTGTTTAATTGAAGAATTCTGAGTGACAGAAAGTGAGAACATAGGTTTTGCATGCTGTGAAACAGAAAATGAGAGCACTACAGAAAGGACAGTCATAACCTTTAAGGTGTTGGGGTTTTTTGTTGTGTTGTAGCATGAAGAGAAACGGCTTTGCTGCATTAAACCAATGTGTTGAGTTAAACCAGTTGCCCATCTCATGAGTGCAGTATTGTTCATCTTGAATGTGGAAGGCAGGAATTCCATCTTGAATTAACCACTTTGAGACAAATGACTGTGAAAAAAGGATTTCTGAGGAAAATCTTGGAGAAGGTTTTCAGGTTTGATGGTTTTTTTTCATTTTATCCTTAGAAGCTACTGGAAGATTTGCTAACTCTGCTGAAATTGCTGCATTAAATGTTCCTCCAAGTCTAGCAGCAAGGCTGCAGATTTTGTACACATCCCTATAAAAAGCTTTTCCTTGTTACTACAAGCTGGCAAATTGCTCCATCACTACAAGACAGTACAAAAAGCTGTCTCCTATAAACCAAAATACCACTTTGTGAAGAATATGAACCATTCATATATTCAATGTATTCAACAATGCTATGAAGATTGTTAAAAACCTCATTTCAACTACAGTGTTCCAGTGAACTACATGAGGTGCATTAAAGACTTGCTGTACTGATAGTGTATCATGAACATCTGTTCCAAGTAATAGTATGGCTGATGAATCAGTAAAGGGTTCCATAATGGCTTTAGGAATGAGCTTATTATTTTTAGTATTTACCATAAGTCAATACAGTATGTCCTGAATATTGGATACAGTTTCATTTTCTCAAATGAAGATTGAATAAAGCTGGAATCTTTAACTTGTGACTAATCCTAGGTGATCATTGCTGTGATATCTTGATACATAATTGAATTGAAATTTGATATTATATCTGCTTCCAGTGAACTTCATTGCATGCAGAAGAAATAGAGTACACTTGCCCTTAATAGCACATGCAGAGCTGTATGTAGAAGGTCTAGAATGTTATTATTTACTATGTGAAATCCAATGCTGTACAGGACTTAAGTGATGAAAGACTGTTGGCTCTTAATACCTTAAAAGTTGGGCAAAATTTTGTTGAGCCTCAGAATTAGTTTACTTTTGAAGCATATTGCAGAACTTGTATTCCAAAAAGTATCTTCTCATAATGCCTTGAGGAGCTACTAATTTTTGTCACACAAAATAGAAGGCAAATTGTGCTCTCTGGGACTTATGGAAAGCTTAGAGTAATTTGGTGTGACAGGGTTAATTTATATCCATGAGCATGGCCAATGTCATTATAGAAATGATATCTGGGTCTGTGTATGCTTCCTTAGAAATATGCTCAATCTTACTTAAGGTGATATGTAAGCAAAGATAAAAGATGAAGCATTGTTGTTATGTGGCAACCCTGCTTTAATGAACAGTGTTCATTGTTTAGCACACGTGGAAGGTTTTCTGCAGAGATAAGAGGAGCTGCAATATTTTTCATAAAACAGATTCTGCAAAATTTGAATCTGCTGTGTTGTCTATGCACATATGCAGATCTAATAAGAAGGAATTAGGCATTTTTTTACTCCATTCCTGATAGGGTTCTTTCCTTTCTTTGTTATACAGTGTAACAGCTGGCAAAATATTTTTGAGACAGAGATATATAGACCTATCCTCTTGTAGCATATTCTCACAAAATCTAACATATGGAGGGTATTTGCATAATGTACAGGATCTGTGATGAGAAGGTAGATATTAATTTTTTCTTTCATAACTTGAGTATTAAATATAACATGGGAAGTTAAATTAAGAATGGCATTTTAATAAGCTACAGAATTCTGATAGATGGTTCATTTTAATCTTGCTATTTTGAGTTTTGATATATTAGAAACAATGTTCTACTTACTGCAGCAGTTCTTTCTGAATGAACATATATCTGGTTTATGTTGCTTCTTTTTACATATCTATCTATTATGTAAATTTTGGCCTACTCTGTACTTGTATCAGTTATGTACTGTTAAATCAGTTTTGCACAATTTGGCTGTTTTCCTGACATAAACTGTCTGCATGTTCATTCACAAAAACAATAGGAAACTTAAGGTGTAGTTCTGAACATACTGCATGTGTAGAACTTATGTTTGTTTTAAAAACCTGAAATGTCATGTAATTTTAGACAATCACCATGTAGTTTGTATTTTGCAAAACCAAAATGTCTTTGCACATACAAAAAATCCATGCAGAGGGCTGAATGTTTGTTGTTTCAAAACTCTTTTCTTGTAGTAAACTTAAAGCTATAATAAATAATGCAACTTTGTGGAATGTAGTAATTATATTATGCTGTATTTCTTCTCTGTGAAAAATATATGCATAAAATTAATGCATCTCATTAAAGTGAATGTTGGTGCCATAAGAGTTAATACGAACTAGAAGATGACTGAGAGTAGAATAGCTTACTAAGCCATTTTTGTGTGTTTGTGTATTAAACTAGCTATACTCATCGTGTGGTTGGCAATGGAATCAAAGCTCAGTCTTCAAATCCAGAAGTAAAAGTGAAGGGAACAGATCCTGTAATAAGTCAAATTATTGACAAGCTGAAGCATGTTATTCAGGTAAGCTGCTTTTATCCATAGATACGGTACTAAAGACAACTCCAGTAGTGAAAGTAATAATTTACTGTAAACTAAAGGTTAATTAATGCTCGATACATGTCAACATCAAAACAACACCTACTCTCTGTCTCACTTTGGTTATTAAAAATTGTTTAGTTAAATTGTTTGCATGTAGTAGTCACATGTAGGAAGAAAAAATTGTACAGCTCAATCATTTGTACCTGTGAGTACCACAAGTCAGCTTTGCAGTAAGCGTACAGAAGCCCAAACAGTACAATTTAGGGATAATAACTATGTGCATATGTTACCTGATATATGTATTTGTGACTTACTATATTTAAGGCTTACAAGGCAGCTAATTTCAATATGGTTCTGCACAATCATAGTATTGTAGTCCATTTAAAGGTTTACAGTTTTCTTTTGTTACATGCTGTATCTATATGCACAGATAGCCAAGAACTACAGCACAAAAACCTGGTTCTATTGAAACCAACAATTATTTCACTGACAGCTCCATATTCAGTTTAAAAATACAAGTTTCCCCTCTGATCTGAAGACTCAGAGATAAGAAATGCTCTACTGGCATTTATTGTCAGTGATCCATCTAACTCAGTATGCTCCCATCTGCTCTTTTAGAAGGAGAGCACTCTTAGGGAGAGCAAGCAAGCTTGGCACCTCTATGGTCTCCACTCCCCTTCTCGACCTCGTTCCTCAGACATGAGAATCCAAGAAACTAGACAGCTTTTCATCATCTATTGCGTTTAGCTTCACCTAAGGACTTGCTTTAATTTTGTTTTTCCATCTTCCTGGCAGCTTTTAAATACAGTTTCCAACATTGTTTCTGAAGTTGAAATAAGCAAGGCACTTGAACCATGCTGAACATTATTATACTAATTCTCTGTCTGTAAAAAATAACTCTTCTTGATAACAAAGAGCAGTGAAACAGAAAAAAGAAACCCTAAAAAATATTTTCTACCGGTAGGATTATTTTCTGGGAGAAGTGTCATCCAGATAAAGCTCAAAGGCAATCATTATTCCTTCTTCCTTAAAAGAAATACCTTTTGTAGCCCTCTAGCTTCAGAATGCTTTTGTCTCTATTAAAATGATGACTACAATGGTGAAAAAAGGAATACAAATTTCCCTCCAAAGAGATGCTATGACTCAATTAAGAACTACAAATTACTGTGCAAAGAAAAACATTGCAAATCTTACTGGGTAAGTCTCAAGGTCTTTCATCTATCAGGAGTGTCCTTCTTTGATATTAAATCTGAACTGTATAGTTTATTGTGTTGTTTTCCTCAGAGACTTGGAATTGTGTTGATTCCTCTTTGAGAGAGGGTTTAAAAGAGTGGAATAGAACAATTCTGTTATAAGGTATTTCGAGAACTTATATGCCCTTGTCTCAAAGGATTAGAGTGGGTCTTGAGGAGGACATATAATTTCCATACTGCAAGTCCTACTGATCTCCAGATATGTTAACTTTCTATGGGATAGTTTCCTTTCTTTCAGAATGGAAATAGGGTCAGGGAAATAAGAGAGCATCAGATTCCTTAGAGACATGACATATAACTGCTTTTCCTCAGATAAAAGCACCCAGAAACTGCAGAAAATGCTTTCTTCTCTACCATTTACTGCTTGGGAAAAGAGGATGGTGAGCATAAATTAGACATTCAAATACAAAAGATTGCCTGTTTGTCCTTTGTGATATGAAAATTACGAGTATCAGGCTTATGATAGGGGGATTAAATAAGGGGAGCTTAATAAATTGTGATGTTGCTCCAGAGATATACAGTCATACTGCACGCTATCCAGGCAGTATTACTGTACTACAGAAGTTAAAATAGCTGTTATTTGTTCAGGTTTTTTAATAATTTCTGAAATCTGTAAAAGTTTAGAAACCTTTATTTAGATTTAAGGGAACTCAGATTGTCAGGGTGATAAATAACTTGTAATTTGTGTAGACAACTGTATATATTTTAATATAAATTCCATATTGTTTTAAACTTGCTTGCTAAACAAGTATCTTTTTGTTATTTAATTGTGTTTTCTATGTTGCCACTTGATCTCGGTATTAGGAAAAAGGAAATGAGTGATAATTCAGGTTTATATGACTTTCCACATCAGCTTTTAAGTATTTCAAGATGCAGGGTATTGAAGTAGCATTTCTCTCTGTCTCATGATGTCATGATAAGATACGGTTCTTCCTTCTCAACCAAAGTCAGAGCTCTGTGTACCAGTGGTAAGTATAGCTGGATTTTTTTTTGCTTGTGCAGGAATGAAGAGAGTCTACCACTTTGAAAATATCAATACAGGACAAAGAATCAGAAGCTCTGCTTCTGGTTCTCACAGTACAAATCGTGAAGTGCACTGAAATGTAATTTGATCAGTGATAACTTGTGGCATATCTTTGCAGGTAGAATTCAGTTCTTTAATCAGACACATGCACATTGTTGATTTTTTTTATGCTTCCCTTATATGTAGATTTATTCCATGGACTTTAGAGAACTGTTCATTTGGTCATATATAAATGCATGCTTCCAACCAAGAATAACAGCAGTTCTTTAGTCTTGCACAATATAAAAGGAGTTTAGGTACACTGGAATGGGTTGCCCAGGGAGGTGGTGGAGTCGCCTTCCCCGGAGGATTTAAAAACCATGTAGATGAGGCACTTCAAGACATGCTCTAGTGGTGAGCTTTTATTCTTGTTTTCTTTGTGAGGAGGTAAGCAGGGGTTGACAATTGGACGCATTGGTCTTAGAGGTCTTTTTCAAACCATGAAAATTCTGTGTGATTCTGTGTGATTTTGTGATTATATATATTTTGCTAGTGGGTCAAAAAAAAAAATTAAAAAAAAAAAATAACTGAAGAGGATGACCAGTTTTGCATTTAGAAACATAATCTAAGTGAGATTGAAAAATACACCTTGATGACATTTTGTCCTTCCATACCAGAAAAAGTATTTTAATTTAGTAAATCCATGGTAGAAGAACACTCTTAGAAAGATTCAGTGTTTTTGAAACCACCTTTCCTCTTTGTCGTCAAAGCAGGTGACCCCTTTCTTACTTTTTACACTAAATTTCCCTTATTGCTTTCAAGAATTCCAGCATGAGGGCAAGAAGAAAGGGAATATTCTGAGATGTAAAGCGAGAACCCACTTAAGGGAGGGTCCAGTAGAGTTCTCAGAAAAACTGTACGTGTTAATTGTACAAATGATTAAATATTATCAAATAACAGAAGAAGAAAAGGTATCTTAGAGATCCCTTCCTACTCATTTTTAAAATGTACATAAGAAAACAGATCAAAGATGATTCTGCCCTTCATGCAGAGAACAGATGTTATTTTCTGTCTCCTAGTATCTCTTCTTCTCTTACAAGGTAGTTATACAAGTGCATAAAACCTCAAGCAAATAATCATCTTTAAAATACATAAACATACTCTGTTTTCTGGATTCTATTATTTTTGAAAACTTTAAACCACTGATAACTTTAAACCACTTGTTTCATAAGTGACAGTATCTCCTCTTAGTATGTCTCATCTGTGAGACACTCACAGTAATCTTCCTTCTTTTTTCTGTAAATAGTGGATTTACCAAAAATCAATAGAACTTTTTGGTACCATTGGACCCTGACTGCTATAATCTGTGCTCTGGACTCCACAGGTTCATATTCTCAGCAACAAAGTTCAATTAGAGGAAGTAACACAAACTCTGCTAAACCAGTCAGTGCTGAAAATGGCTTGACAAAGTCACCTTCTTTTGTAAAGATCCTTACTTGTACAGACTGGTGCTTTGGAGAGATTTAAACGATGGGCTCTTCATCAATTTATCTTCACAGTAGGCAAATAATGGGTTCAATGCATATTCTTTTGTGTACTGCAATCTGCAACTATCACTCAAATAGACAATCATGATAAGAAAAGTCAGTTGCATATGGCAGCAATAATAATGGTAATTATTTTTTTCTTCCCCAGTAATTAAAAAACATTATTAATTTATCTTTCCTACAAGTACAAACACTCATGTTATGAAGTAAGTATCATATTTTGGTGTTGTGATTACAGGCACTTGGACCTCAGTCATTTCAATATATTGCTTCTTTCAGAAGACAGTCTCAAAAAGATACTACTTTTGAAAATAATAGACACTACTTGGAGCTCATATTTACAGGTGTAATAAATGCTTCCTAATTTTAGGAAATCTTGCCATAGTAGAAAATACCTCTATTTTTCTAACTTAGGCAGAACAAATCTCCCTCTGGAGATCTCCAGAAACACCTGCTAGTCTACTGATTATACTGGAAATTTGAATGCTTTTAGTAGGAAAATAATTTCCTATTTCTAGGTGCAGCAAAAGATGTACCTGAACTTATTTGGAAGGGATCACATCTTATACTGCTATACCACCAGACTGCTAGCTGATATACATGGTATATTTGCTTTCTCCACAAAAGCCTGAAAGCTGTCACTAATGGAAGGGATGCCTACATCCTTTAAGTGAGTAGAAGGCACTACTTCCTAAGACAAAATGTAGGTGGCAATCTAATTTTTCCTTTATTACTGGTCATTATTATGATGTGGTAAGCACTGTTGCACCATGCCATTGTCTGCTCATTTACCTAGCTCAAAAATGTTGCAAAAATAATGAGATTTTGTTTTGACACTGATTCGTCATACTAAGTACTAAACTTCCCAGCTGTGTTTTTAAAGCTTTTATTAATGTACCACAGCACAGGCAAATTAAAAAGTGTTTTTGTAAGAGCTGTTTAAGTTCATACTGGAAATGGTGATGGAATACATTACCTGAGTCCTCATCTGCATATACAAAGAACAATGTTTTAAAATAATTCATATGCAAGATATGGCACTTGCAGTCATATTCCCCTTTGATCACTGATATCAAGTTTGTGCTTGTTCTGATAATCATCTAATAGTTAAAATCCCTCTGCCTCTTAGAATAGTTCAAAATGCTGTGTAAATTTAATGAATTACACCTTCTGATGACT